AAAAAAAAAAAAAAAAAAAAAAAAAAAAAAAAAAAAAAAAACACTGTATGCATTAAAGAGCATGCCACAATGGAATTTATAGTTTAGAACTTTATGTTGGAGAATGACACATGTTTGTGGAGGGAATAAGTGTTGGCTAGGAGGAAAGGAATAATCCCATTAGATAAACGATTACCAAAACTACATGTAAAAATTGTGAACTTTTTTTGTAGGAATCACAGATGAAAGCAATGAAAGAGATGATACGTCTCTGCCTGTCAGGTGTTTTCCAAGATCAACCTTCTCCTTACACTGTAAGCAAGTCAACTCCAAGTCAAATGTCAGCTCCACACAAGGAAATGGAGTCTGCAGCTCAAGATGCAAGTACAAGTGAGCAGGTATGTCTTACTGTATTTGTGCTTTGGAAAGTCAAGTCAAGGAATGTACTTTCTTTGTAGGTCATTTAAGATGCTTATTGGAATGGATGTAGAGATGATATTGAATTCATCAAAAAACTTAGTAAGTAATGAAAGAGCATGATCCAGTTTGGAGAATGTTGAAGACAGCTTTTCTTGAGTTAATAGTAAAATAATAATAATGATAATAATAAATAATCTAAATAATACTTATAGACTATTAAAAGAAAATTCCTGTTGATCTATCACAGTGTATACCAGCAGTCTGATATGAAACATACTGTATAACTAATATCCTTATAATATTATATACTTGTTTTATTAAGTTCATAGTTCTCTACGTAGTGTACACAAGGGATTTAAGTAAATCCTCCACTAAATCTCCCCTTCATGCCCATCCCTCTCCTTTCCTACTGCTCTACTACACAGGGTAAAAGATTATTACAATGATGGCTGTGTTTTAATCATCAGAACCTTCCATTTGGAGTCTCTACCATTAAATAAACCCTGAATCTGAAATCAGTATTTATAAAAGGGGTTTTAGCCAGTGTATTTGAAAGTTCCAAATCTCGCAAATTGCCTTAGGATCACTTGCTGTTAAATAGATTCCAGTCATTTATCTAGTGCACATCTCCAAGGAAACCTAAGCAAAGCAATGCAGATAACTAATGAGTTACTAGTTCCTTGTTAGGAACTAAGTAGTTCCTTATTAGGAAGCTGGTGCTTCCTTATTTTGCTTATTTCTGTTATTTTGTATGTTTCAATAAAAATGGGAAAATTGCAGTGTAGGAAAATACTATCTCCAAGATAAGGAGTCAAAAATAAGATAAAACAAAATAAGTTTGTTTTCATCAGCAAATAGTCAATTTATAGATTATACAAATTCAGTCTGTAAAAGCTCATCTTTATCTACTAAAAATCTTTCAGGGGCCTCCATGGTGACTGATGGGTATGTCTCAGTGTTATCAGACTATCTCTGCTTTGGGTCTGAGTTCGATCTCCAACCAAGGAGGTGACCGACTAGTGCAACAGACCTCTCCTGACATGACTCCTGCTGTTCCCCTTAGCAGTGTACTTCAGTAAATCCACCAGTTCTGCTCCCTATTCTGTCTCTAGTGAATCTTCTTAACATACCCTTGCACCTCTGGCCTGCTGTGCCCCAACCCCTTGTGCCACTAGGGAGGGCCCAGCTTTAGATGATTCTCTTGACTTTTTAAGTAAAAGGAAGTGATCACTGTAATTTAACCAGTGGGATCCCTTAGAATGAGGTCATCCCCCTCTGAGGCCACCAAGCTGTTGTGAACTCAGCCTCCTCACTGTGAGGTGGTGAGCGTGTAACAGGGTGGACCCAGGAAAAGGGGGAGGTTCCAGGTTCCCTGCCCCATCTGGAAGGAGGATGGAGCTGAGCAGAGAAGAGAGGAATCTGGAGAGGAGTCTGAAGAGGAAGGAAGCAGGATGGCGCCATGAGACCTGAGGGAGCCACATGGAGCAGAGAGACACATGTAAATAAATACAACATTTTAAAACATCATTTTAAAATACACATTTCTATTTAAACATGTTATTGGATAATATTATTTGTTTTTTCCAGCCCCTTCTTTAAAAACTCTGTGTCTAAAGTGTTTACTTAGCCAAAGTCAGATGAAAAAAAATGTATATTTTTGCTCAGGAAACATTCTGGGTATGTTGACAGAAGTTGGTCATTCATAGACTGTACAGCTACCTTCACTCCTGTGAGAAAGTCTTACCACAAATGCCTCCTGTTAGTGTTAATACAAGGAAGGAACAAACACGCAGCTTCATTAAATCTGATGACTTGTGGCAAAGTAGCTTTGCAATTCTATGAGCACATTATGCTTGTCTCCAACTCAAAATATGTTTGTTAAAGCCGGTTATTAAAACTGGGTTTTTTTATGACTGTGTGAAGGAAATTACTGATTGATACTTAACTGATTTACCATGAATAAATGTATGCCCTGTCATTGAGATAAGTAATAAATATTTATTACTTCCCTTGGTTTATCACAAGATAGGAAACATTTAGAAGAGCCTATTTTGGTGATTGCTCATTTTTCAAAAAACAATAACAGAAAAATCCAACTGTTTAAGATAAATTTCAGTAAATCTGAGTTGATGTATGATAGACCATTTTATTATATAGATTAGCCTTAGAACTTTCCCTGGGGAATTCCATTTGCCCATAGTCTTTATTTTCAGTGGTGGTGGAAATTGAATTTTATGTATACTTTGGGTTAATCTTCATGCAGTCATCTCACAGATAATATGTTTTAAATATTGAATAATATAATGTGATATGGGGTATGTACCACAGAACCAAGTACTCTGTTATAAAATTGTTTTTTTCTTTATACAAAATGTATATTTTCAATGACATTTAGCTGATATATTTTCAGCAGTTGTTTTGGAGAGATGTGGGATTCAGACGGTGGGGTGTTTGGGTTACATTGAGAAAAGTTTCATCAGAGCTCCCCTTTCAGCTCACCTAGCAAGTTTCCCAACAAGGCAGAGACAGTTACATACAAATGGGCAGGACTGTTATAAAAAGGGAACGGGAGTCAAGCTCTTTCTGCCAGACACGGTGGGCAGAAAGAGCTGCCCCCCAAAGGGACAGGGTTGCTAGAGGAGTGGGCTGCACAGTCGCAGGGGGCAGCCCTGGGGGAGCCCTGCCTCTGTGGCTGTGCAAAGGGAGGAGGTTGGTGAGGAGAAACACCTGCACAGTCGTGGGCGGCCAGGAGAGCGGCTGCCTTTGGCCAGTGCAGTGTTTGCACTGATACAGTCTTCCCCTCTTTGGGAGGGGTTCGGTCCTTTGTAGGATAGTTAACTGTGGCTAATTTAATTGTTTCTAAAGATGGCAGCTAGGGATTTTTATTTGATTTATATTTGATTTGAATGGTCAATTTGAAATGACCAGCAACTCTTTTACGATGGCCCTTAATGTCCATATCTGTATTTGGTCTACACTTAGCCTGCACCTCTGGATACTTTACTTGTCTAATTTGTTTTTAACAACTATGTAAATCCTAGCCCAGCCTCCTGCTTCTGGCCTGTGTGAACCAGTTTCTAGTTTTCTGATGCCTCCTCCCCCAATGTTCTACTCAGCCTCCATCAGTTTTCATAGTGATGTGATACGTTGTCTGGGGAGTGATACAATCATATCACCTCACTTCTTCCTGTTCAGAGCCTATCTGAGTGTTCTGATATGAGAATTACAAGTAACTCATTTTAATTTTTATGATATGTGATCGGTCTCATGTACATTTTTAAATGTAGAATATTTTGTTCAAAAGGAGCATAGTTGGATGGTTTTCTCTGAAATCAGTGAAACACATCCAAATTATCAATTTTCAACCCACACCTCAAAAAAAAAAAGACAAAATGTACCCCCTCAAATATCATTGCATTTTTTCTTCCCAAAATTAGATAATAGAAGTTAATTTATTTTATATAAATGAATGCACATGCATACTTGGAAATGTATATATAGTCACTGTGGAAATTTAAAAATCACAAGTTTCATTTTAAAATTATAAAAGTTAATGGCAAAAACCTAAAAATAATTTGTGTATTGGTAAGATGTGAATCTGGAGAACACACACACTTAATTCATCGCAGCATCTATCTCCTTATTAGAACTTTTCTTTATTTAGAAATTATAAAACATGCATTACTGAGTGCTCTGGAACTTCTTAGCATTCAGCAGAACGGCATTACATTTGTGTGCCACGACTGTGCTCAGCACCTAGGATAAAATTTGAAATAACCAAGCCATATACTATGAACTAGTATATCTGATTTGTTTTTGCAAAATATGACTGTAACAAAAAATAGAAATAAGCAAACCAGTGACACAATATTTCATTGATCAATGTGGAATATTGGTGACACAGTCTAGAAATGGAAGTAGGGTTCTAGATGTCGCTGAGAACTATAATGCCGTAGTAATTAAGAGAGGAAATCAAGGATGACAGTGCTTATATTGATTTACTGTGAAGCAAAAGGTAAAGGAGTTATAAGGGAAGACCAAAATTTGATTTATTTTTCAACATGCAAGTTGTAAGAGATTTATATCCATTAGGTGGTCCTACATTTGAATCTGGAACTCAGAGTAGAAATAAAGGGTTTGGCATCATCACCATGAATGGTTATTAATGGTTGGCAATTGATTAAATTAGTTAGTGAGACATAAAGGAAAAGAGATGAGGGCAGCAAAGGATACCAGAAATAAAATGTAACGGGTATTTGTCCTAAAACAAAGAAATTTATGGTAAAAATTTCCCCTTGCGGCCCTCCCTGGTGGTGCAGCGGGTTAAAGCACAGCACTGAGAATCTAAAGCTGCTTCTGCATGAGTTC